AGGACAACTCAGAATCTAACTCAAGGTGCATCCTAGATCTCCAGTAGGGAAACACAAAGAGCAATCTCCTCACACTTATTGACATGCTCAGCCTATTCTTATGGATCACCCATGTGGGAAACATTGCCTACATCTTAGTTCTGCCTCATTCCATTTGCCTCTGGACACTAGTGGTAAGTTACATTAAGGTGATTTTTCAAAAAGCTTCAGAAAATAAGGGAAACAGAGTCTAGAACATCTTTTGCTGGAAATGCTCAATATTTCTGCAAACCTTCATTATCTATTATAAATGATGCTCCTATTTTTGAAGATTTTCACAGAGTACCTCAAGAGAAATGCAAATTAACACTACACTGAGATACTTTCATCATTGAGGCTGGCAAAAATGCAGAAACTTGTTGATACATTCTATTGGCAAAGCCATGGAAAACAGGGACTTTACCCTGAAAGATACACATGTACAATATCAGGTGAAGAACTAGATAGCAATTACTATAAATGGATGCAGCAGACCAAGAAAGCTGTGATAATCTTCACAGCAGAAAAAAAGATAACCAGAGAGTATGTGCCCCCTGATGGAAGTACCACCACCTATAGAACATTGTTATGGACATTAAGAAAGAGAGAGAGATAAGAGGAAGGAAGAAAGGAAGTCAACCCTGAATCAGAAGCTGACCCTCAAATTATACCCATGAACATAAATAACAGGGAACAGAGGAATGTGTTCAACAATGCTCCAGGAATTCAAGCTGCAAAATCCAAATCAGGGAAGTTCTACAGGACAAGCAAATTACTTTCATCAACAAATAAGTTCTCAGGCAAACAAAATGGAGGAGGCAAGATGGAAAGACAATGTGTGGGCCTCAGATGAATCTGAACCCAAACAGTAGAGAAATAGGACAGTGTGGCTAGAGAAGGGATGCCTCACAAGTGGAGTATGAGTATTAGAGTTATGCTTTTAAAAGGAGTCCACAGATTTAGGAGGGGTAAATATCATCAAAATGTGATTCTGGAGTTTTCTTCAATAAGGGACCAAGAATTTAGGGGATGGGGCAGGATTACAAAATGAGCCAAGATTGGGATTAAGTTTACAGGAGGGTTTCATTATACTATTTTCTCTCTTTTGTTTATCGTTGACATTTTTCATCATTGAAATATTTAAAAAAATAAATAATACATACACACATGTATATATTCTATCATTAATCCAGAGACTATATCCATGGCCAGCTCCCTGCTACACATACTAACAACATATACAGATATTTTTTAAAATACAAAAGGTTCTTTTTTCCTCACTTGGACTCAAGCATAATGATGGATTTCCTTGCTAGCCAGGAAATTCACCAAGATAAACAAGTTAAATTTAAAATGTTATAAGCAGCCAGACTCCTGGTGAGGTGCTCTGGAAAAGAATACACTGGTGATTCTGGGAAGCAAGAATAGCAGAAAGTTTTCTGGAGGAGAATCTAGGGCCACTGCCTTAAATTGATGTTGGTAATAAAATCAGAGAAGCTCTACATTTATGTACTATTTGTACTTGTATTCAGGATTTCAGAGTTGAGGTGTGGTAACCATATCTTCAATGCTTAAGAAGAGTTTTCAAAATTTCTCAATGAATAACATAAATTGAATGATTGAACCCAAACAGAAATGCCAAATCTTCAATATCAGAAAAACAATGAGACTGTTTTCATCTCAAAGCCTATGGAACTCATAGAAAGGCTACCAGATTATTTTTCACTTACAAAGAGTTTTAAGAGTAATATAAATGTCCGTGTGTTCTCTTCTTCCTGAGAGGTTGTGTCACAGAATCAAGCAAATATGCAGTGACAATGCATCTTCAAATGAGCAGAGGCAACATGCCGATTAAGCAAGGCCTTGCTCTGCAGCTCCTCTGGGGAAAGCTGCCTGGCCTATTGGCAGAACACATGGCAGGGGGTGGGCCCCTCAGGACCAAGGCCAGGTCCAGAGCCTTTACTGCCACTCCTCAGCCTCCCCAGGGGAGGGCGAGTGTTCCCTTGAGCTCTGGCAGGCACGAGCAGCCTCCCCTTGGCAAAGGGCAAGTTTATAACTGCTGTTCCCAAGTGTGGGATCTTGCTAATGAAAGCAGAAAGAAAATACAAACATTGCTCTTCTCTCTTCCAGGAGCACAACTCATACTCCATGTTAGCTGTGGGGATCAAGTTAAATCTCTCTGTGCCCACTCCTGCTCCCCTACCCCATACATCTGGAGAAAAAGAAGTTGCCTTTTCCTATCCTTGATGACTACAAGAGGTGGATTTACTTTCTAGTGAGGGGAACTGCCTTTCTCTTGGCACATTTCATTTTCTCAAGTATTCAGTTTTAAACTGACATTGTCAGATAGCCTTTGTCTTCAATAAGGAAATGGAGCTGTCCAGAGTGATGGAGCCTAGGCAAAGGAGCAGGCACTGAGCCCAGGTGATCCCATACAGAAGTCACAGCCAGCATGGAAAAGCACAAAGCTTGGATCTCCCATGAGCCTCATGGATACTGTGTAGCCTCAGACTGTGCCTGAACCCCAGTCACCTTCCTCAGAGCTTCTGCAAGTGAGAATGAAAATTACAACCTCCAGCACACACAATGACTAGTGTTAAAATGACATATTACCTATAGACATTGTAGGGTAATGAGAGAAACCTACTGTGGGGCCCAATGAAAGTAGGAAATCACCCTCCAATTCAATTAGACAGTTTGGGCAACTTGAAGACCTATTAGATCAAATTACTTGCTTGCACTTATTCTTTGTCAATCTCTTTAGCAGAAGTGACACAGGATGACACAGATACCACACACAGAAAAGCATCCTAGGAGGTGCTGGAGTTTCTGGAGCCTGACTGGACTGTCAGGGGTAAAATCACAGTGCACTGGGAAACACTGTAGCAAGTGGACAAAATAACCAATGAAACCAGTAGACTGTACCAGTACTGGAAAAGAAGCTTCATTTGCTTAAAACTGAACTTTTTGGGGGGTGTGGAGTGGGGGCTGTACTACTAACTAGGGCTAATTAAAAGAACCTCAAATAGTAGATCTAAAACACAGGAAAGAGCATGCAAACACAAGTGTAACAGCACATCAGAGTAACAACAGAGAAAGCAAAAAGTGGACAATGACTTTAAAAGAATTCAGATCACACTCATGTTAATAGGCTTATTAAAACCCACCTGCAGGGGGCATGGCAGTGTTTCTGAACAAACCATCATCTTTTAACAGCCCTGAGGGACAGGGATAAGAAAGTCGAGCCCGAGCCCCTCTATGCAACTCCCCTTTCTTTGTATCTCCCCAGGTGCCTAGATGGCCTTAATGAAAAAACAGACACAAATGAATCCTGAACCAACCCAATCCAGACTAATTAAGGAGGTCAATCTTGACATAATGTTAAACAACAGGGTTTGCTATATCCAGTCTTCCCCTTTGAATAAGGTAGAGATAATTACATATGTCGTTCACATTCATTTATTACCTCCCTATAAAGACAGATACTGCAGTCATATTTGGTACACTGTTATTGAGCCTGTCTCCACAGTGCAAAGCATGGCACATTGTTTGTCCTCATCACTATAGTAGCCATGTGGGTTCCTGCCTTTGATGAAGGCTGACTAGGTACAAGACCCTGGCACCACCCTCTGAACAATTTAGCACAGTGATCACTATTATGTATTCTGTGTTTATGATCTCCCACACTAGATTCTTATTTTGAAGCCTCACCCCCAATATGAAAGTATTTGAAGTGGGGCCAGTGGAAAGTAATTAGGCTTAGATGAGGTAATGAGGGTAGGATCCCAATGATGGCATTAGTGTCCTTGCAGAAAAAGGAAGAGAGATCCAGAGCTCTTTCTCTGAGCCATGTGAAGACACTGCAAAAAAGTGACCACCTGAAAGTCAGCAATGAGGCCTGTACTAGGAATGAAGTCTTGGACTTTCAGTCTCCAGAACTGTGAAAAAATATCCATTGTTCAAGCCATGCAATCAATAGTATTTTAATATAGCAACCTAAGTTAATCACCATTTACAAATAAGAAAAGTAGGCTCAGAAAGTGTGAAGCACATGTCCAATTTTAGCCAGTGAAGCCAGGCTCTGAGTCAAGAGAGCACTCTTAGTCAACAAGCCAATAATACTCTCTTAACAAAATTAATCCTTTCAGACCATCATAATAGCCATTTGTAAAACAACAATGTTTGTTCATTAAATTTGCTGATTTAATATAGCTCACTGATGGTAAGAAATTCACCTTGAAACTCTTGGTAGGGATAAAGTTAAAATTGTAAAGATGTGAACAGGGAGACTTGTAGACTGTCTGAGGGCTAGTTCTGTGATGATGGAAATCTATTGCCTATGCTACCTGATGAGTATCAACTAGCCCTGAGGTTCTCAACTCGGGGCACTTAGGAATATCTGCAGCCCTTTTCAATTGTCATAATGAGGGGTTGGGTGCTACTGGCAGCTATCAGGTAAAAGCCAGGGATGCTGTTCAACATCCTACAGTAACAGAATGACACTCACAAAGTGTGTTATCTGGTCCAAAATGTCACACTAGTGTCATGGTGGAAAAAAATGTGCACTAACCACATGTGACTACTGAGCACTTCAGACATGGCTACTGAGAATGAGAAACTAAATTCTAAATTTTTTACTTTAATTAATTTAAATTTTAGAATAAAAATTTTAAAAGAATAAAATTTAAAAAACCCAAATTCAAATGCAAATGGTCATGTGTGCCTTGGAAAGGAGAGCTATGAACATACAAATAATACATACAAATAAAGGTCTTCTTTTCTCAGTGTTCCCATTTAAAGGATTAAAAAATCTTTAAGAGACAGAGAGACTCTGATGTATAATATTGGGAAAGAACAAGCATAAATAAAGGCATAAAAGCAAAGGTCATGAAACTTTGGGTACATGTGTCCAGGAGCCCAATTAGTCAAGACAACAGGAAATCACAGGCAAATGCTCTCATCTACACATGCAGGCAACTCACTCTTGCAGGGTCTCCACGCCCTTTTCTTTGTACTGTAGTTCTTGCTTCATCTGGGTCAGCTCTCGTTTTAATCTGGAAAGCTAAAGACAAATTCCATTTTCAAAAACAAGCTGTGAAAAACGGTTTCTATAGTTGTTATTTGCACTGTCATTTAAGTTTCTAATTCGCTTGCAATTTCAAGGATCATCTATTCCCTCCATGAACTTCCATTTGCACAGATAAAACCACCACCACTCTGGAAGAACCGCCTTGCTTAGACACCAAAATCCCCAGTTGCTGACAGTTCCCTACCCACGTGGGAAACCTGTATAACTATTTCTTTTTTGAGGTAACAATTTCTATGTTACAATTAGCAAACTTGTAATACTTCATTATCCTTCCTTCTACTTACTAGACCTAGGAAACTTTTGTTTCTAAAAGGTGGGTCTCTACTACCTGAAACTCAACTGCCTGCTAGGCTTTTCTAAACAGATTCTGGACCGGCTCTAGGACTACATAAATCCCAGGAGTTAACCTGGAATTCTGTACTTTCACAAAGCTCTCAGGTATTTTTCTTAACTATGCTAAAATTTGAGATCCACTACCTAAAAGATATACCCTGGTTCAGAGAATGACAGACCAGGAGAAGGAGAGGCCTCAATGTGTCCCCTGTGCTTTTTCACACATGCAACAAAAGTGACCCCCTTCAGCCAGGCATGGTGGCACATGCCTGTAATCCCAGCAACTCAGGAGGTTGAGGCAGGAGGATCGTGAGTTCAAAGCCAGTCTCAGCAGATTAGCGAGGCACTTAGCAACTCAATGAGACCCTGACTGTAAATAAAATATTAAAAAGGGCTGGGGATGTGGCTCAGTGGTTCAGCACCCCTGGGTGCTAAATCCCTGTTACAAAAAAAAAAAAAAAAGTCATCCTTCGTAGACAGCCAAGACAAAGGTCTGATGGGATAAAATGAGGTGACACTTGAAGCATCCAGGCATCACCAGGGAAGGAGCATCTGAACCCTTCTGGTCAAACACTGTGGTAGAATCCATCCCTCTAGGACTAGTCACCCAGTGGAGAACATTAGTTGCTGAGGCTGCTAAGGGACAAAGTTGGCACCTCTGTAGTCCAGAGAAGTAGCCTTATGAGACTGGGCCCTGATGTTACCATGTCTTCCCCAAAGCTGGTGAGTCCAGCCCCATGAAATACACAGGGATACAGGCTATCTTTTGTCAAGTGAGCTAAGGCTTCAAAATGAAACTTTTTTCCTTTTATTGGAAAAAGTGGAAAGTAAAACAAAACAAAAAAAAAAAACAATAATAAACCAAGAAATTAAAAATCTTACTAAAACATGTTAGATACACTGATAACCACAAAAATGAACCATGATTAATAATTTTACATAAAAAGCATGTAGTAGAACAAGTCTCATCAACAGATGAATGAATAAAGAAAATGTGGTATATGTACACAATGGAGCTCTACTCAGAAGAAGAATGAAAATGGATAGAACTGGAGAACATCATGCTAAGTGAAATAAAACAAGACCAAAAAAAAAAAGAAAGAAAGAAAGAAGACAGACCCAGAAAGTCAAAGGTTGAATGTTTTCTTTCATAGTGGAAGCTGGAGATTAAAAAGGAATAAAATCAAGGGGATCTCATAGAAATAGAAGGGAGAAAAGTAGAGAAGCAGCAGGGGATAAAAGATGAGAGAGGAAAGGAGGTGAAGGGGAAGAAGTGGGGAATATAGTTGACCAAATTATGCTATGTGCATGCATGAATATATCACAATAAATTCCAATTTTATATATAATAATGCACCAATTAAATAAATAAAAGGAAGACCAATACTGTAGAGGAAGGGGGTGAATGGAGGGAGGATGGAAGGGAAGGGGATAATACTAGGGATTAAAATGGAGAAAACTATGTTATATGCATTTATGAATATATCAAAATAAACACCAAAATTTTAAAAGAGAAGAATGTGTATGGTGAATCTAGTTGTAAAAATACTAGTTTTACTCACCCTATCCCGACGACTTGCTATTTCGGCTTTAATTTGGTGTGGGTCATACTTTGTATTTGTTGAATATCCTGAGAAGGCTAAATAGAAGAAAAATATTTTATTTTACAATAGATCCTTAAAATAAATAAACACAAGGAACTTCTGATTTACCATATTAAATAATTAATTCTAAATATCTGATTTAAGTGGGCACTGTTTCCTAAAGAATTAACATTGCACAACCTCAAATCCTGAGGTTTGATTTTTTTCATCAAGATTTTCTTCATGATCCCATATAGGAAAATATATGGCTGCAGGAAAATCAAACCCTATTTATTTCTACTACAAATCTACTAGGGTTAAAAAACATACATACACAAGAGGAAACAAGAGGTGATTATGGCATGGAAAGCTGTCCTATGTGCAGGTATAAGCAGTATGAACCCCTTGTTCCTGTCTTTTCCAATATACATATATGGAAGTCACTGAAGGATAGAAGCAAAAGGTTAACTATGATTATTTTCTGTGGTTGCATTTTGATTTTGTATTCATTTTCTTCAATTTTTGACACATTAAAAATTTATAAAATAAAAAAGGCAGATTTGTACTATGCCACTACTAGTACTACACTAGTCTGGCAAAGTTGAGGAAAGTTGCACCCTCAAGTTTTTTGTTCCCAGAAACTTAAATGAGGCACTCATGGTTTTATTCTAGTTGCTTGTCATTGATGGATATTTAGCTTAAATATATCACATCACTCAATGCTTTCTTAAACAGTGCAGTGCACATGATTTAAATGCTTTTTACAGACACAGTGTCATTAGTATGAATAGCCAATACTCAGGGTGAATAAGCTCCACAAAGCTGTTTACAGGCTAAGTGCTCTCTGCCAATTTCTGTCGGCACAGAGAACTGCACTTCTTTTCTAGTACTCCAGTGGCCAGAGCAGCCAGTGGCTGTTTCTCATTTCTACCACTCCTTCCATCTCTCTGCATAGCTTTTTCTTGATGTTTCTGGCTCCTTTCTTTTGGTGTCTGAAACTACAGGCTTTTGTATTATGGCAATTTGACTTCAATTCTCTTCCTCAGCTCATCTGTCTTCATCTGTGAGTCATTCCACACTAGTATTATCAGCCTCCTGGTTACTGTCCTTAATATCACCTGCTCAGAAAATCCATCAGCAGGGCCATAACCCCTTCTTTTACTTTTTTGGTTTGAGTACCAAAGGTTGACTGTCACACAGTTAACTTAGGTGCCTAGAACTATAACTTAGTTCAAAATCCTTTCCTTAATGACAAGAATTAATAAACGGGATGGCATCAAATTAAAAAGCTCTGCATAGCAAAGAAAACAATTAGTAATGTGAAGAGAACCTACAAAATGGGACAAAAGCTTTGCTAGCTACTCTTCCAACAGAGGATTAATATCTAGACTATATAAAGAACTCTAAAAATATAACACCAAAAAGTCAAATAACTCAACTAATGCATGGGAAAATTAATTAAACAGACAATTCTCAAAAGAAAAAATACAAATGACCAAGAAATATATGAAAAATATTCAACACTATTAGCAATTGGGAAATGCATATCAAAACTACATTAAAATTTCATCTCACACCAGTGAGAATAGCAGTCATCAAGAATACAAATACTAATAAACACTGGAGAGAATGTGGGGAAAAAAGGAACACTTTTACATTGTTGGTGGGATTGTAAATTAGTAAAATCACTACAGAAATCAGTATGGAGGTTCCTAAAAGACTAGGCATGGAACTGTCATATGACCCAGCTATACCACTCCATAGTATTAGCCTAAAGAATTAAAGTCATCATACTACAGTGATACAAGCATACCTATGTTTACAACAGCACAATTCACAATAGTCAAACTATGTAATCAGCCTAGGTTCCATCAGAGAATGAATGGATAAAGAAAATGTGGCATATATATATACACAATGGAGTTTTATTCAGCCCTAAAGAAAAATGAAATTAGGTCATTTGTAGGAAAATGAATGGAACTTGAGACCATTATGTTAAGTGAAACAAGCCAAACTCAGAAGATCAGGGTTGTATATCTTCTCTCATATGTGGAAACTAGAAAAGAAAAGGGAAAGAAAAGGTGGAATGGTGGGGAATCTCATGAAAATCAAAGGGAGATCAGTAGAGGAAAGGGACTAGAAGGTAGGGAAGGAGAGGGGGAGTGCTGGGGAATGATATTGGTCAAATTATATTGTCATAGTGTGTACATGTATGAATATGTAACAACAAATTCCATGATTATGTACAACTATAACATACCAACAAAGAATGTGGCAAGAGAAAAAAATCCTTTTCTGGCTTTATATTGGAAAGGATAGCTCAAAACCATTAAGTAGCTTACACAGCAGGATTATTTAAAACTTCAATTAGAACAATATCCAAAGTTAATTTGAGCAGTTCAGATATCCCATTTTAAAAATGGTTCTATGGAAAATCTTCTATTCAAGCCCCATTTGGTCAGAACTTCAATCTGGTTCTACTGGAAATAAATATCTAGAGGAGCTAAATGTTTGCCAGTTTTATCTCAAATGTTCTTATACTTAAAATTGTGATCTCTCAAGGATACAAAATAAAATATTTTTAAAACAAATTTCATGGGCAGGGGATGTAATTCAGTGGTACAGCACTTGCCTAGCATGTGTGAAGCCCTGGATTCAAACCCCAGCACTGAAAAAAAACTGTTAGATGAGAACGGCTATTTCCAAATCCTATGACTTAAATATTGCCGGACTTATGGGTTTCATTTAAGATCAGTAATGAAAGCAATAACTCAAACAATGTGCCCTCAAGAGACAAAAAATTGTTTATAGAAAACCTTCACAATGAAGTCCTGGGACTTAAATCTCCCAGACCTGAGCTTAAAGGCCCTCTACCCTGGAGGGAAGCAATACACAAATGAGGCTACAGATGGCTGCCTCCTCCTTTACATGTGTGTACAACTGGTCAACTTAATAGGAAGACAATTCCAATGGTTATCGCCTGGGATTTATCACATTAAGAGTAGAAAGTAACCCCACCACGGGATTTCAGCAAAGTTAACTTCAATGTTTAACATCAGTAACAATGACTGGAAATCATTACCACCAAACTTCTTCTGCCTGCAATTTCATAGGAAAAATCAGTGGAGACTTGAAATACATAAAGGAGCATGTGGTTAGTACTGTTGGACATCAATGCAGCAGCCTTCCTCCCATTTCTCCTTCCTAATTAATAGAACTCCAATGTTGACAAGTAGCTACCTCTCCTCTAGGAGACTTGGTGCATACTCAGTCCTAGACATCAAATTTGATAAACCAAGAACACATGGAGCCATCAGATACAACAATGGAAAAACTCCACCCAGCCCCCAAAGGACTATTATGTGATAATGAATTTCCATGTTGTCCAGGCCCATGAAAGTTAGTTTTCCATTACTTACAGCTAAAATCATCCCAAATGACAGATTTTACTTATACCATTCATATAACTTTACCTATGGTCTCTACAATTATGAAATCCCAGGTCTGAAACAAGGGAATAAGGCAACTCAAGTACCTAAGACCATGAATAACTTTTATCTCCAAATACTAAGAATAGTTGTGAACACTGGCATAACTTTGAAATAGTATAGTTCAATTTATAAATAAAAGCCTCAGTTTCTTAGATCCTCCCATAGGTCTAACAGAACCATTTTTAGAGTTTTAGGATTCCAGACCCCCTTTTTAACAGCATGCACTCTACAACATTTATAAAAAGTTCTTCCTCTGGTAAACATGTCTCTAATCTCAAAGTTTATGATAAAGACCAGACTGCCACCTTGGAACTTTCTTTTCTCTAGAGAGTTGAATATGCAGAGCTATTAAATAGCTTAAGGAGTCGGCTCCGGCATAAAATATTGCTTCAGATGATATAATAATAAGGTTATAGTTTAGCTGGACCACAGCAATTTAAATTATTATACCTTGCTATTTTAGAGGCCCTTTCACAATTATTTCACCTATTTTCAAAAATCTTCATGAAAGGGAGATGATGATTATGCTTCCCCATTTTGTAGATTAAAAGACTGAATTTGTAATGACTTGATCTATACTATGCCATCATTCATAAAAGAATTTGTGTCTAGAACTCCTGGGGGATTATCTCTCAGTAAACACATGTACTCTACTACTGCCTCCAAGATTGAGGCTTGCAGACTAATATGTGGGGAAAATGCTGCATGATCCATTTTTCTCCTGCCTGCTCCAACATGCTCATGTGAAGGAAAACAAAAGTCCGAACAGATTGACTGTAGCCTTTATCCTAACTCAGACAGCAGATGAGAAATCCTTTAGCTAGGAGCGAGGGAAGATAGTTTTTGTGGGATGGGCTTGGAGCCTCGGAAAGAATGTTGGCAGGACTGATGGCTGATAAGGTCAAGCCTCACCACCACCTGACCCAAGAATCCAGGGTGAGTCAGCACCTTCTCACTGGAGATAAGGCTGACTCTTTCCCAGGCACCTAAAGATACTTTCAGTGTATTGCTCCTGGCAGTCAGGATAACAAAGTCGCATTCCTGCTGCTAGAAGGGACATACACAGTCAATCTAAACCAGTAGATCTTGACTCAGGAACCACCTGGGGAGCTTTAAAGAAACATGCAAAATATTGCCTCCCCCATCAAAGGCCAATTAAATAAATCTAGGGGCAGCATAGGGCCCAGGCCCTAGTAGTTTTTAAAAGCCCTCCAGGAAATTTGAACTTGCAGCCAAGGTTAAGAACCACTGGTTCTGCAAAGGGACAGAGAATCAGTACATTTTGCTGTGGGCCATACAGTCTGTGTTGAATTTTCAATTCTGCTTTTTTCGCTGCCATAGACAACAAGTGAGTGAATGGGCATGGCTGTGTTCCAAGAAGACGTTATTTGCAACACCTGCATTGGACAGGATTCAGCCAGCAGAACTAACATAGTCTGCAAACCTGTAGCTCAGATTATAATTCTACTCATGCAAGAATTTTTTCCAAGGCTGGGGTTACAGCACAGTTGGTAGAAGGCTTGCCTCACATGCACAAGGCCCTGGATTCAATCCCCAGCACCACA